CTGCCCCATCCCTGGAAGTGTCCAAGGCCAGGTTGGATGTGGCTTGGAGCAACCTGGGCTGGTGGAAGGTGTCCCTGCCCATGGCAGGGGGGCGGAACAAAATGATCTTTAAGGTCCCTTCTGACCCAAACCATCCATGATTCTCTAACACAAGGTTTTCCCTCCCTTGCAGAAACCTGCTCCTCCAAAGCCAGAGCCCAAACCTAAAAAGGCAGCTCCAAAGGTGAGTTGTGTCAGTGCTGTTTCGAGAGCTAAATGGGCTGTGAGGTTTAGCTTTGATTGGCGACAGCTAATAAACCCTTGACTAGATTGACCCGTGTTGTCACTTCGTAAAGTGGCACTGGAAACTTCCAGATTTTACAAAATTTGTGTTAAAAATAGCGAAGTGAAGACTGTTCACAGTGGTTGTCAGTCCCTTGAACACACAGGTTGTTGTGTTACCAACACCCAGCTGTTGCTAACTGACAGCAAAAATACCCCCTTGCCTTTACAGAAGAGCGAGAAGGTGCCCAAGGGGAAGAAAGGAAAAGCTGATGCTGGCAAGGAGGGAAACAACCCTGCAGAAAACGGAGATGCCAAAACAGACCAGGTATCACAGCACCCTGCCTTACATCAGGATTCACTCCTTTCCCTCTCAAACAGGGACAGGTCTTGGCTTGTGCTAACGAAGAGGAACTGTTGCTTATTCACACCCGTTGCTTATGACACTTAAAGACACATCCACATCCAAAGAGTTAAAGTTGTCTGTTTGCCAGGTGCTGTCGCCAGTTACTGTTCTGGCTCTGTGAAGTTTGCACCTGTAAAGCAACTTAAGTTGTCTTTTACGGTACCTCAAATGCTAGATTTGATGCTATTAAAAATTATTTTATTTAAAATCAGAGCGCTGCAGCCCAAGGAACACTTGGCTCTGCTCAGGGATTTGTCATTTAGAAAAACGAGTTTCTGTTCGTTTTATGTGTTGACTTGCTCCCCTTTTTTCTTTCCAGGCGCAGAAAGCCGAAGGTGCTGGTGAAGCCAAGTAAAAACGTGTGAATTTTTGATAACTGTGTACTTCTGGTGACTGTACAGTTTGAAATACTATTTTTTATCAAGTTTTATAACAATGCAGAATTTTGGTTTACTTTTTTTTAAGCTATGTTGTTAGCACACAGACCGCTTCGTTGTTGTGTTTTGGGGGGAGGGTGGAGGGGTGGGGGGGGGGGGCAGGGGGGGCAAATGTCATTTAGTCTATTTCTCAAAACCTAAATTTTAATAAGAAAAGCTTTTTCCAGTCCCCCAGTTTTTTGGAAGAAGGGCCCTTCCTGCAGGGATGAGGGAGGGATTCCTGATGCTGCGTGTCAGTCAGTCGAGTCCAAGTGAACATCAAAGCTCCCAAGGTGCCGTTGCCCACTCCAAAACCCCAATGCCACCAGTTTTCCTTTGGTGTCTCCCTGTTTACCCAGAGCCCGTCACTCCAAAACACGGCAAAACCGGCATTTTTTGGGACGTACCACACTCAATCCACTGTCAGGTGATCCGGATTCCTTGGTGTCTTAATTTGGGATACACTGGCTCAAAAAACGGAGCTGCGCTTCCTCTTTTCTATTGTGGATCTTCAGATACAGAAACCTGCCTTTATAAATTTTATTCTGCTGTAAAAAAAGTCAGGGTCGGTGTGTGCAGAGTTGTCAAACAACGTGCTGGTGTGAACGTGTCCACCCTCACTCTAAAAGTTTTCCCTCTACAAAGTGTGAGCTGAAGATTCCTAACGGTTCCATAGCAACTTTTCCGTTTCACTAGTCCACAAAAGGGAGGGGAGTTTGACAGTTGTTTGTAAAATGTTGCAGATTGTAGCCCATGTCCTGCCTAAATTGCCATGATTGTTCATGAAAAGTACCTTTAATAAAGCTGGATACGGTTTGGCTTGGACTGTTCTTAATGCTCTCTAATTTCTCTTGCCTTTATTTCGTTTAAGAACTTGCTGTGTGCGTGCCTGTGTTTATTTTTTTCATTCAGATAATTAGCTCAGTCTTAGTGTGCCACTGCAAAGTGGGATTTCCTTACCTAAAAGCAAGGTTTCCTTAACTAAAAACTAGGTTGGCTGCAGGATGTGTCGAAACTTCAGCTTACTGGGAAGGCCCAAAATGAAGCATGTAAGTGAATCTACTGAGATAAATTATCCTCTTTATTGTAAAAAAAAAATGGTACTGTGTAAAACAGGATTACAGTGATCTTGCAGTTGCTGCAGAGAAAAGCAAATTCTGGTGAGCTTTTCTTGGGAGTGAAACCAGAACTGGCTCCATAAAACCGATGATGTGTTACATTTCTGCACTTAAATTTGAATATTGTTGCTCCTGCTAATCGAATCCAGACCTGGCTGTGGTAGTGACTAAGCAGGAGACGAGATTTGTTGGGTAAAAATGCACCATTTTTATAGTTGCTACTTAGACTCCAGAGCAGAGCCAAGCCCAAACCCCCTGTGTAAACGTCTCCTCCAGTGACTGTCAGATGGAATATTTTTTCCATCTCTGCTTGGCCTTGCCTGGGATTTCAGTGTCTGTTTGTGATTAAGTTCAGTGACCTGTTTCAACCTGTGCTGATTTCAGAGGGATTCCAGTGAAAACGAGCAGGGCAGAGTTCCACATCCAGAGGTTTTCAGTGTCAGGAGTGCTGGGGAGTGTTCTGGAGCTGCTGCACCTACAGAGAACAGTGAGATGTGCTAATGTGAACTGCTCCATCTTGTGTTACTGTAGCTGGTATGTCACATTCGCCCTAGCAAATAGAAATAATGATGAATAATCCTGTTTAATAGTCTCTAATAAACCCCACCCAGAAGCAGCAGCTTAGAAACAGCTCCTGACCGGTGGCTCAGGCAGCCAAGCAGTGGGATGTGGCTGCTGGAAGGCTGTGGCTTCCCAGCAGTGGGAGCAGGGAGAGGAGGTTGGTGGTTGTCCAGGGTGTTCTCCAAGAGGTGCAGCTTGGGAGGAGCCCTGTGTGGGGTTGAGGTGTTGGGAAAAGCGGGAAGCGAGTCCAGGAGTGACCAGAATGGCTGTTGGGGTTCTGTGACATCTCTCTGGTTCGCTGTGCCTTGCTCCCATCATAGGGATGGTGGGAGGTGTGGACTTGGGATTTCCCAATGAATCCCAGCTTTCCAAGTACCAGAGGGGACGAGTCTTGGAAGCTGTGGAGTGGTCTGGGACCTGGGCACAGGCTGGGTGACACTGGGTGGTGAAATTGGGATTTCACCCAATAACGTAACTGCATTAAAATAACAATTATGTTTTTAAATCTGCAAGTTTGAAATAGCCTACCTTGCTTTTGCAGAGTTTTACCTTGTTGGGTATCTACAAAGAGGATGAGCACTTCCAAAGGAATTGGGCTCTGAAGGGGTTGCTGCTGACCAAGTTGCCGAGAGGAATGTTCTTGTGTTTTCCTTTATCCTGCTCTGGAATCTACGTGCTGATCCAAACATCCCCATGTAAAAGATGTTATAAAGGAGTTTTAACCCCCCCCCCATGGGTGATTCTGTGCCATGACTTGGTGAGGGCTCTGTCTCTTCTCCACAGAAATCAATGGATATTTTTAGTGCTGAGATTCCAAGCTCTTGCTACATCTGAGGTGCTTCCCAGTGGACGTGCCCTGCGCTGGAATTATTGGCCTGTTGGGCTTGACTCAACTCGCAGGGCTCATCTATTTCTCCTTAAGCAAATAGAGGGTGAGGGATGCTAAAGCCAGTAAATCCAACTAATTAGCTGTGTAAATTAAAGCTGAGGAGCTCTGTGCTGCAGCCCGTGCATGGTTAGTGGTTAGAGGCACCACAAATCTGCATCGCCGCCTGCCAGAACGCCTGAAGCTAAAAAGGAAGTTTTTCTGTTAAATTGTAATCATTTTACATGGAAAATGGCCTCTGTGTATCTGCTGGGAGTGGGATTTGTGCTGCCTGGTGCAGTTAACAAGCCGGTCTGCCAGGTGGGCTCTGCATCAGCACAGGATTTTGTCCTGTTTGTGTGAGTCTTTGGAAACTGGAGATCACCAGTTTGATGGGAACACACGTGAAACCCCCAACAATCTTCCTGTTGGAGGGTACCAGTGCTGTGCAGCAATGTGCAATTATTTTCCAACTGAAAAGGTGCAGGGAGTATCCTCTTTCCAGTCAAGCCGAGGATCCTCTCTGGTGAGACCCCACCTGCAGAGCTGCATCCATCCCTGGGCTCCCCAGCACAGGAAGGACATGGAGCTGTTGGAGCAAGTCCAGAGGAGACCACCAAGATCATCAGAGGGATGGAGCACTGTGAGGAAATTTGGGAGAAATTTGTGGCCTTCCAGTGAAGGGAGCCTTCAAGAAAGATGGAGAGAGATGCTTACAAGGGCCTGGAGTGACAGGGCTTCAAGCTAAAAGATAATAGGTTCAGATTATTTGATTATTTAGATTATTTGGAAAAAGTGACAGCATCCTCCTCCTGTCCCTGAGCCCTGCCACGGGTGGGGATGAAAAGGAACAGGGAAGGAAAATGGCCTAAATTCAGTGAGTGCATCCAGCAGATACTGAGTTTCAGGATCATTTGTGTCAGAAGAATCACCCAGCTTGATGGCACGGGGATTTCATTGTCCCTAAATCATCCCAGATATGGTAATACCATACCCAGGGACTAATATTGCTGACTATAATTCCTGGGAAATGGCTCCTTATCCTGCAGTTCGTGGAGATGAAATGGAGCTCAAGTTAAATTCACAATTTACAGAGTGAGCCCATCGTTTGTAAGGGATGGGAAGGAGATGGCACAGGGGGAGCTGGTGCTGAGTAGAGTTGATTGAGGCTAATAAAGAGCTTTAGTAAGTTGGCTTTAGAAGATTTCTGATGTGAAAGGCTGGGTTGTTTTTAAAACCTTTTATTGAAAACTGTTTTGTCAATCTTTTGGGGGTTTTAACCGTCTCCTTGCAAAGGGAGCCAGAAAATCTGCGGCGTGGCAGAAGGAACAGCAACAGAAATCAGCAGGGAAAACCTACTAAATGTGAGATCTTTTAAAGTGCATTAAAGCCTCCAAACAAGAGCATTTCATGGCCTTAAATACAACAAACCAGCCTGGAGAAAGTACTTGGAAAATGTAGAAGGAACATCCCCACAGTGGCTGAGATGACCCGGGTGTGGAGCAGCTCATCCCTCCACCTTCCAAAGCACCTGCAGGTACTTACAGGGCTTGGCATCTTGCTGCTGGACATATAAACCCCAACCTTTCTAGTTTTCCCCTTCTAAACAGGTTTGATAGTGGATTTAATTTAATTTATTTTTGCTCAGTTATCCCACTGAGTTTTACTTTTGGATTTTTACCAAATTCCCTTCCAGGCAGCAGCTCTCTCCCCTGCTCTCAAGCTTGTTGGTTGCCACTGCTGTGCAGAGGTGAGTGTACATGGAGCTAGAGAGGAGTTACTATTAGATTTCTATTAATCTGGTTACTCTAGATTACTATTTTGGCATTGCCCAGACAGATTTTGTTTGCCTTTAGTCTAATGAAGTGGTATCTTGGTGCCTCTTGGTGAAATTCAGTGTTACCTCAGCACAAGAGCTGAACATACCTGTACTGGGGGTTCTGAGTTTAGCCTGAGGACTGATTGTAAATTATAGCAACTACATTAGTTTTTCTCATAATTTCCTTCTTACTGGAGGTGATACCAGAGGTTGTTCCCGTGCTGTGGGTGTTTGGTGAATGGGTTTTGTTGGCCTGCAGCCTGGTGGGAGATGCCCAGGTTTCCCTGCCATGCCAGGATCCAATTAGCTTCCTTGTTGCCAAAGCCCTGCAGAGGAAAATTCCATTGATACTGAATCAATTTCTCCTGCAAAAAAAAAATGACAGAAGTAAGCTGGATCTGAGGCAGGTTGGCAGGGGAAGGCTGGATTTGGCAGCCCCACGGTGTCTCCTTGCCACGGCCCAGTGGACTCGGGGATTTGCGCGGTGCCGTTTAGCTCATTAACACGCTTTGATTAACAAACTGTTCCTTCCCTTCGCCACACGGTGGTACCAGGAAACACAGAATCGGGGCCTGGAGATCAACAAATGGCAGGGAGCATCCAAAACCAGCTCAGAAAACTTGGGGAGACTGGACCTGGTTTGTCATGGTCTAATCTGAGTTATTTTCTTTTAGAAAGCAGAAGTGCTGCTCCAGCATCCTCCGTGTTCTGCCACCATCAGAGGCTCAGACTTTGTCAAACAATACTCACCAGAGCAGTCTGAGGCCCCTCTGAGCCTCTCTTTCTACTTTTTGTTATGTTTTTGCTCAAAATCCAGTCAGAGTTCTCAATTCCTCATCGGTTTACAGGCATAGCTGACATTTCACAGGAATCTATCCATGGTATATCAAGCCTTTGAACTTAGGCTTCCCAAATTCTATTTTAAGAATCACTGGACCATTTCTTTTCCTCCTCAGGCCATTATTGCAGCTGCTGTGGCTCATGTCCTGAAAGTTTGAGCCTAAACTAGAGCTGCTGCTATCCATCTCATCTGTCCTCAGCTGGGGAAGGGATACTTTATCCTAAACCTGGATTTAAATAGGAATCATATAAGCCTGGTCACTTGAAGGCTTGTTGGCACAAACTACTTATATCAGACTTGCTGAATCTTCAACCTGAGATCACAAAATAAATAATTATGTCCAAAAAAATAATACTTTCTCCATTGGAAAGCTCCCTGTGCTTTTTGTCATGTTTCCTTTTGCTTTTGTGTGCCAGTATTTGAGTGCACGTGCTTTTTCTCTGCAAGCAAAACCTAGGGAGTTGAACTGTAATATCTGTGCTAGTTCACAATCTCTTCAAAAGTCTCACCAGGGCGATTTTTCTCATGCTGTAAAACTGTGGGCCCACTTTGCCAGCCAGTAACTTTTACCAGCATTGCATTTAAGAGTCACAGAACGTCATCCTGTGACGCGTCTTAGGCTGAAGCAATG